GTAGATAGCCATCAAGTGTGTGGTATAGGGTCTCACTTACAGTCCTAGACAGGCATGGGTGACTGGTGTGGGCACAGGCATCTGGCTGCAGCAGGGGGACACACTCTGAGCAAGGCAGGGGGCTGACGGCCACCCCAGAGTGTCCAGGAGGAAGGCATGTCCCTGTTCCCTAGCACATGTAGATGGGTTTTGCAGCTGGCCTATGAGCACCTAATGCTGTTGGCTGTAAGGACTGGGGGGCACCTCTTATTCATGGGCCCCTATCGCAGGTGGTTATGTGGCGTGGGTGGAGCCACCAGTCCTGAGGCCCCTGATGTGGGTAGGTGAAAACTCTGCTTAATTGGCAGAGCAGTGTCAAATGTCAAGAATCTGCCACTTCACAGCTGAAGCAGTTGAAGTCAGGGTTCTGGTATATACCCTGTTGTACTGTGGTAATGAGGGCCTATGCTGTTGAAATGGGCCCACACAAGACTATGCAAAGGAAAAGGCACTCAAAGTCCGTGGATCCCTTATGCCTGTGCCTAGGCAAAGGAGCTGTGCCTACCCTGGGTTTCTGGCTTAGTGAAGCTGGCAGTTTATTTTTCCCTCTGTTAATTTGTTCACTCTCCAAGGCAGGGAGAATGGCTCCGGGCCTGTGACGGATCCTACTTCTGGCCCAGGGGACTCAGCAATTGCTGAAGATGGTCCGGGACCCAGTGCAGAGCAGGGAGCAGGGAGGTAAATAGGAGAGAGGTTTTTCCCTAACGGAGGTGTTTTTGATCTGCGAGGCAAGCCATACGCAATTACTTATCTTTCGCCAATAAGGGCTGCTTCTCACTGGTTCTGGGTGGCTGTGTAGATTCTCTGGTGCTGGGTCTTTCCCAGTGTGGAAAGCGCGCATCCCGAGCACAGCTGCTTGCCTGCCTCACCGCTCACCCCTGAGCTGATCAGGCCTGAAGGGCTCAGGCTCTCGCTGGGTGAGGTCCAGCAACTCCTCGCTTCTTCCAAACCGTCTCTCCCTCCCCCTGCTACTCATTCCAGTTCCTCAACTCTGCCTTCATTGTTCCGGGCTCCCAGATTGCCATATAAAATCGAATCACTTGTTTTTCAGGTCTTTGTTGTAAGAGGGTCCGTCGGAAGCATCTGACTACTCTGCCATCTTGGCCCTGACTTGCTGTGAGGTTTAAATAAGCTTATTATGAGTGTGCATGTGTATGTGTGTGTGTGTGTAAAGATTCAGAACCTGGAACCTGGTATTTAAGTGCTAGCTATTACAATTGCAAACCACCATACTCATTGCGCCCTTTCTGTCTTCTCTCACATCATCTCCCACCTGAAGCTTACCCTCCTGTTCCTGTGCCTCTCATCTGCCCTCTGAAGCCCAGATCTGGACCCACTCCTCCCCTGCTCTTCCAGAAAGCCTTCCCAGATTGTTCCAAACTGCACCATCCTGTTTCCTAGAGAAGTCTCTAAACTTCCCCAGAAAAACTCGGATCCAGCACAAGATGAGAGGCATCTGAAGCACTCAACACTATGACTACTCTTCATAACATATTTATTGAGTATTTAGCAAATACTACACACTGTCCTTAGCACTCCCTACGGATTTTGTCATTTAATGCAACAATCCTATGAAGTAGGCAGGTTTTTTTCCTCCATTTTACAGACAAGAAAATTAAGGTGTTAAGTTCCTCTCATAAGGTCCTATGGCTAGTGGCTGGGGAGGCTGAGACCCAGAACTTGCCATTCATCAAAGGTAGTGTAGCCTACTGGTTGAGGGCACAGACTGCCCGAGTTCAAGCTCCACCTCTGCCTCTTATTGGACTATGTCCTTAATCAAGGTGCATAACCTCCTTGTGCTTCAGTTTCCTCTTCTATAAAATAGAGATGATAATGGACCCTAGGTTGCTGTGGTGGTGCAATCAGGCACTAGTATAGTAGCTGGCACGTAGTAAACCTGTCTAGGTATTGGCTATTAACATGATCTATCTTCCCTCATTTTAAAGAGGTAGTCCTGAGGCTCAGAGCAGGAAAAGACCATGGAGTTGGTGGCCCACCTGGGCCCACAGTCTCCTTTTCTTTTCTACCTCATGGCTGCCCTTTGACTCTGCTTGATTAGGTCTCAGCTCTATACTATAAAGCCCCACCCCTGACTCAGAGGGGCATTTAGGGAAGAGTAGGAGAGGTCTTCTCCTCAGGCAGACCCCTGGAAGGGGCTGCCTCCTCTCCCCTGTAGGCACTCAGGGTTAGAGAAGAGTAGTTCCCTCACCTCCAGAACAATCCTTCACACCCTGCCCTCCTCTAGGCCCAGCCCAAATGCCACTTCCTCCCTCCCTGATCTTACCTCCTATAGCCCCAGAAGGAAGGGCTTTATCCCTTCACTGAATTCACTCCCATAGCACTAGCTCTGCTTCTCCCAATTGCACACCTCTCTGAACTACCAGTCAGAGATATCAGGGTTGAGCTCTCTCCCCATTCCCCTACCCCTAAACTTAACCCCACTCTACCCAGCCCAGACCTGATTCCAGCTCCTCTTGTGAGCTGAATGAGTGCGTAAGAGCATGAGAGGAGGGAATAAACGAGAGACAGAGAGAATAAGAGAATGGATGAGTGGATGGATGAATGGATGGATGGATGGGTGGGTTGGTGGGTGGGTGGGTGGATGAATGAGCTTCTTTCTCAAGCTGGGGGTTCCCTGTCCAATTTCAGGTTTTGGGAGTGACCTGTGAGTCAAGACCTCTGAGGCAGGGCCAGAGGAGGGTCAGGTGAAGTCTTGGGAAGAGCTGTAGGACGTCAGCCCAGTGGGAAGAGCTTGTGGCAGGTTGACTGCTGATGGGCCCTCCTACCAATTCCAGGGGAGACGGACATGAAATATACAGATTCCTGTTTCCTAGACCCTCAGCCTTTCCAGAAAAATCCCCTCTCTAGCCCCACCCACTAACCCCACCTACTCCAATTCAGGGTTCCAGATACAGGGAATTACCCAGTGCCCTCCTAAAATGTCAGGCTTATGCTGCCTGACCTTCAGCCAGGTATCTCCTAAAGTTCCCTTAGCCTAGAATATTCTCCCCATCCATCCAGCCCTCCATTCTCATCTGCCAGCCAAATACCTACCCACTCCTCAGGCCTAGCTCAGGAGTCTCAGCTCTAGTTTCTCATTATAATCACCTGGGAAGTTTTTAACTTACCAACGACCAGTCCTACCTTAGAGGGTCTGATTTAATGGGCTGGGTGTGGCTTGCATACATTTTTTTAAAAGTTCCCCTGGTGATTCTAAGGTTTGAGAGCCAAGGGTCTAGTTCAATTGCCACCTTCTCCATGAATCCTCCCGCACCCTCCCGTGAAGAACTCACGTCTCCCCCTGCTGGGCCCACCATGTGAGTGCGACCTCCTAGCACCGGCCTGCCCCCTCCTGGGAGGGTCGTTCATCGACGGGTATCTCTCCCTCATGCTTCTGCCAGGACATCTCTAGGGGCAGGCCTGCGTCCTGTCCTCTCCCCAGCCAGGGCTCAATAAACAGGTGTGAAATTAAAGTGCACAGCAGCTCTCCCCACAGTTGCTGCCCCCACCCCATCTCCCGCCTCTATTCTTCCCTCTTACATGCTTTTATTGCACAACCTAAATGTATCTGAGCGAGAAAGACCATATCATGCAGGAAAAAGACCCTGGGCTGGGAGGCAGGACACCTAACTTCCAGACCATTCTCAGCCTGGCCTACCCAGTGTCCTAAACAGTCACGTCCCCTCAGGGCTCCATTTCCCACTCACCAAATAAGAGGTTTGCACCAGATATCCTTTCAGCCTCCTCCAACTGTCTGCCCATCTGGACCCTTCCCTGCCTCAGTTTTCCCAGTGCGTGGGCCTTAGAATTGACTTTCTACCTCAGTACTCCAGCACTGGGTGATGGCTGAGCAAGAGCAGGGCTAGAAGGAAAGGCCTGCAAGGCCAAGAGAGGCTCCATTACCAGGTAATGTTCACGGGGAAGCAACTGGCCAGGGAGCTGGGGCCCGGTGGGACTATTACATCTAACTGGACTACAGATTAATCAAGTATTTAAACAGATGGTACTCCAAAGAGTTCCCCAGCAAACAGGGGAGGATCCAAAGGGAAAAGTGGATCCCTCTGGCCTGAGCGAGAGCCCGACCCTCAGCCTGTTGGGTAGCTGACCCTCCAGCAGCTGAGACATAAGTGAGGCTAGGGTAGCCTGCAGGGATGCCTCCACCCAACCTGCCCCCCACTCAGACCCTTCCCCTGGCCCCACTGGGAGTCAGGAAGCTGAGGGAGCCTTTGTTCCCATCTGCACAGTGTGGGAGGCAGGAGGCGAGGGGTTACGGGGAACCACTGGTTCTCAGCCAGGGACCATTCCATTCCCTTGGGGCACTGGGAAATGTTGGGAGGTATTTTTTGGTTGTCTTTGGGATCAGGGAATGTGACTGGCATTTAGCAGGGATGGGGCTGAGGATGCTAAATGTCTGGAATGCATGGCCCCGCCCAGCACAAGGAAGCATTACCCCTCCCCAGAGGCTACCAACAGCCCCAGGAGACACACTGCACCAGATAGCATTTAGGGCTGCGGTTGCGGCTGCCGCCTTATTCTCTGACTTCCAGTGGAGTAAGCAAAGCAGGTGGTAAAGGACCCCCCACTTCCTGCCCTGGGTTGACCAGGTGCAGTCCAGCTCGGCCACTGGGAACAGCTGTGTCCCTGCTGCCACGAGGCCCAGGCTGCCTGTTAACAAGCTGTCTGACAGCAGAAGCCCAGGCATCAGCTCTCTCCTAGTCCCCATGGGAGAGAAGGCAGCCACATTCAGCCACTCAGAACAGCCCCAGGCAGGCCAGCCCAAAGGAGGGTGACCCGAGTGTCACTGCCCAAAGCAGATCTAGGACTCATCATCCCAAAGGGCTTTCTGAAGGACCCAGGGACCAGTAGTCTCCATCACTCTCTAACGAGCTATGCCAAAGGCTGGGAAACCAGTTCCAAAGACTGTGCTGGGGATGCCATGCCCTCCCCAGTGCCCCTCTCACCAGGGGAGGAGTCGTTCAAACCCATCAGGTCATTTGCCCTCTGGATCTTCTCCAGGCACATGGCTTGCTCCTTCTTGAAGATGCAGTCGGAGTGCATGGCCGTAGCCTGCGAGAGACACACAAATGGGTGGGTGGGAGGGGCCTGGGAGGTCTATCAGCCAGCCCTGCTACCTAAGTCCCAGGGCAGTGTCCTATGGAGGAAATAAATAACTTGCCCAAAAACAATAAGTAACTTGCCCAAAGTCACACAGCTAGTGGAAGTAGAGTCAGGATTCAAACCCACACAGTCTGGCTCTAGAGACCCTAGGCTACTACCACGCTTTAGGGGAGCAAGCTAGGGGGTACAGGAGAAGATGGACTGAGAGCCCATCTTTTCCCCTCTGGGGGTCGGGAAGGAGGCCTACCCCCCAGGAGCTGCTGGCAAGGAATCAAGGGAAGTCCAGAGGTAGCTTTCCATGAAGGGCCTACTTGCCTCTCTCATTTACTCTTGTCCCATTTTACCAAAGAGGAAACTGAGGCTCGAAGAAGTTAACAAAGTCCTGCCCAAGGTCACACAGCTGGTTAGTGACAGATATGAATTCAAACACAGGACCAAATGACTTCAAAGCCCCTGCTTTGCTATAAGACAGCGGCCTCCCAGTGCTGTCATTTTAACTCAAAACTCCAGGGCAAGGATAGTTTTGTAGGCGTTGTCAGTGAGTGCAGATCCGGCTCAGCCCTGACTATTCACAGATGTGTAGGTGGCTTCTAGAAGGAGGGAAGGGCCATTCGTGGTCACACAGTGAGTCAGGACTAGCAACCAGGGCTCACAGAACAGCCTCACTCACTGCTGGTCTGAACTCCCAGCTTAAGTGGTGGCGCCAATGCCTGGGAACCCTTCCCCTGACTCTGCTCTTCCTCAGGGGGAGATATGAACAGAGGACAGGCTTCTGAACTCTAACCTGATAGAGCCTCATGGGTTGGACACTGGGAGATCAAAAGGGCCTTCCGAAGCCCTGGTCAGGCCGTTGCATACAGTTGAGCAGGTTGTGCACTGCACAACTATAAATGTTGCCACTCATGTCACCATCATAACAGATTTGCAGGGTCTTGAGTAAGGGGTTCCTTTTTTAATTCTCACAAAAGTGTTATATGGTCCAGTGGTAATGCTGCTTCTGATCAACCTAGATCCCAGAGACAGCATCCAGGTGAATAGAGCTTGGCCAAGAGCACACAGAGACAGAGGTCCTCCAGGGAGGGGGCCCCAGCTGGTGGTGGAGGGAGGGTCCCAGCCCTTACCATAGGCAGCAGGAGAAGAGCAGCCAAGGAGGCCTGCAGGATGCTGGCGGCCATGGTGCTTCTCAGTCAGGAAAGAAGGGGCAGGTCTCACACTCCTGCAGCTGCTGGCCAGTCCCCAGGTGTCTCTGAGCTAGAGATAAAGGAAAAGCAAGATTTCTGTGGGTCCAGTGGAAGAGGGAGGGGCAGAGACATTCTGGGTTCAGCCACCTCCGTTTCTCATTTCCCCTTCCCTACCTGCAGCCAGGCTCTCAGCCACTGTCATGGATTGAATTATGTCCCCCAAAAAATGTGTGTATCAACTTGGCTGGGTCATGATTCCCAGTATTGTATGATTATGTAATCTGATGTGATTTCCTTATGTATTGTAAATTCTGTCACTATAATGTAATACGATGGATTAGCAGCAGTTATACTGATGAGGCATACAAGACTGGATAGTGCCTTAAGCCAATCTCTTTTGAGATATAAAAGAGAGAAGCGAGCAGAGACACATGCGAACCGCATACCACCAAGAGGGCAGTGCCGGGAGCAAAGCGTGTGTCCTTTGGACCTGAGATTCCTGTGCAGAGAAGCTCCCAGACCAGGGGAAGATTGATGACACGTACATTCCTCCAGAGCCGACAGAGAAAGCATTCCCCTGGAGCTGACGCCCTGAATTTGGACTTGTAGCCTACTGGACTGTGAGAGAATATAAACTTCTCTTTGTTAAAGCCATCCACTTGTGGTATTTCTGTTAGAGCAGCACTAGATGACTAACACAGCCACCAAGTGTAATCCCCCCTCCAAGCTTTCATCCATGCTGTTCTTGATTCTTCTGTGCATCAAAACCCTTGGTGAGCACCTACTCTGTGCTTGGCACCGGGGATACAGTGGGGAGCAAGGCCAGCTCAAGCTTCCAGCAGTCTAGTGGAAGAGTCTGGAATGGCCTTCTCCTCTGCAGAAAATGCATTGTGTCCCCCAATCTTTTCATTCTCCCCTTCTTCCACAGTAAGAGTTGTAGCTGGCAACATGTACGTCTACTTAGAGACTGCCAGTCTCTCTTGCTCTCAGGTGTGGCCACGGGATGAAGTTCTCACCCGTGGAACATGGATGGAAGTGACAAGTGCCACTTCTGCACCCCTTGTTCATAAAGGCAGTGCATGCTCTCCACTGCTACTCCTTCACCCTTCCCAAGTGCTGGCCCAACTGTGACCATACAGACAAGGACAACACCCGAGGGGTGGGAGCAACACTTCGAAGGGAACTGGGACACTGAGTGATCTCGCGGAGCCAAGCCGCCACACCAGCCTGAATGCCTGCTCATCTCCAGATGGTTCTGTGAGAAAGAGATAAGCTTTATCTAACTTAACTCACATTAGAGGGCCACTTTGTTACAGCTGCCTAGCCTTGTACCCTAACAAATACACCCTCGTTTCACCCTACCTCAACCCACTCTTCCTGCAGGATAAAGTCTTTAACACCATGATGTACAAAATGAAGTCAGCTGCAGGACCTCCTGAGGGGAAGTCTGTGAGGCCTGGAGGACTGGAGCCGTTAGTGAGGACAAGACTGGTCACAGGGCAGGAGGCTGGGGGAGCGCGGGTACATTCCCAGGGGAGAGTCTGGCCTGCTTCTGAAATCAGTCATTAATGCATATACCCTTCAACCCAGAGATCCCACACCTGGGCATCTTCTAGAGAAATATTTACACGTGTGCAAAAAGAAGTACAGAAAAACCTGTGAAAGCTGGAACCTCTGTAAGGCGGAAACCTGTCAGAGAAGGAAAATGCAAATATTTTCCACTAAAACAAGCAATAAAAAAGTGGTCAGACTGCACTCTGTTGAAGGTGGAAAACTTACAAGACCCAGAAAAAAATGGCAGTCCCATCAAGTTCCGGTTCTCACAGGTTTCACTGTATCTGCAAGGATATTCACTGCAGCATGATTTAAAATAACAACAGCAAAATGGGGCAGCAAAATGTCCATCACGCAGGCACCGTTAGGTAGGACACGGCATGGCCACACAATGGAATACTAGGCAGTTGTTAAAAAGATGGAGCAGGCCCGTATCAGGGGCACCAGTAGCCCACACGCAGGTGCCTGTTCAGGAGGCACATGGGGGATGGAGCAAACTCCGTCACCTGCATCCCCACCATTTGTCCCTGAATCCCCCACCAGCAGGCAGAGCTGCCATTACTCCCAAGTCCTTAGTGCCCTGATGCTCAGCCTAACCACACCTCCCTCCCTTCTCACCTTGCCTCCCTCACAGTCCCTCCAAGCTCAAGCTGGTGACAAGCAAGAACCAAAAATTAGAAACAAAGCTGGCTGCAGGAAGGCTCCACAAAAGGTGGCCCTCGTCTTAGCTGTCCCCTCCTCTGCCTTCCCAGGGCTCATTCAAAGATGCTGAGAAAGGCCTTGGATATCCCCAGGGGGCCATGGGCATCCCAATGCACAGCCCACACTGGACACTCAGGCCCCAGCCTCTATACCCCCAAGTGGGCCCTCCAAGCCCCTTTTCTCCCCAGCACTCTGCCCTGGTGGCAACTGGCTGCCTTGGGCATAAGCTGCAGGTTCTGGCCTCAGCAGTCCCCAAGGGTTTGGTCACCTCCACCAGCCCAAGGCCCTGCCAGCAGAGAAATGACAATCCTGACCTGCATAGCTGGAACAGAGGCAGGCCTTGCCCCACCGATCCTCAGCAGAAGCTGAAGTCATCTCTCCCAGCCGGTAAGGAGTCGAGGAGGCTAGTGCAAGGCAGAAGGCCTCTGAGATCTGGGCCTGCCTCTCTTGCACCTTAGATAATCTCAGGTCAAAGGCTGGTGAGGACTGAGGTCAGAGAAGCCTCCAGCCTGGGCAATGCTCAACCCCTGGTGCCTCCAGCACCCCACTTTAGCTGTTCTGGTCGGGGGTACAAGTAGGTGGGCGCGGGTTCTGGCCCTATCATGTGGCCACAGTCTGGGCCTTCTGCTTCTTTGGGTCTCAGCTCCCTTAGCTGATAGGAAGAAGACCTCCCTGTCTCAGTTCCTCATGAGCCTGCTTCACAGCCAGCAGGGTCTGGGCAGGATGAAGAGATGAGAAATGCGTGCACAGCATTCGCCACCAAATGGACACATACTGCTCTCTCCCTGATGCAACTAGAAACAGCCAGCCAGCCCCCGTGTCTATCTCTTGGGAGAGATCTCTGCCCTGGGGCAGAAAGAACACTTCTGGAAGATGAGGCCTGGCAAGGGGGACAAGAGCTCAGAGCTGAAACCAGCACTGCTCTCAGCAACAACCAAGATGGCAGCAGCAAGACCCCTTCAGAACTGGGCTCCTCCAAGTGGAGACCCACCACCTCCTCCCCAGCCCTGCCCTGGGCTCAGACAGCTCAGCTCATGTGGCACTGTCCTAACACCCAGCCCAACTGAATTAAAATCTGGTGTCATCATTACTTAAAGCTTCCAGGTGACTCTCCTATAGAGACAGCATTATTAAGCTTCTGGGATTTTTTGTTTGTTCACTTATGGTTTTTTATCGCGGTAAATACGTAAGTAACAACACATTTGCCATGTCAGTAATTTTCACATGCAGTCATTAATTATGTTCATCCTGTCGTTCAACCATCACCATAACCGTTCCCGAATTCTTCCATCATCCTTAAGAGGAACTCTGTGTCCCCTAAGCATTGAGTCCCCTCCTTTTTCCTTTCCTCCCACCCCCACTCGCCCTTGGTAATCACTAATAAACTTTGATCTCTATATACTTGTCTATTCTAGATATTTCCTAGAAGTGGGATCATATAATATTTGTCTTTTTGTGACTGACTTATTTCACTCAGCACAATGTTTTCAAGGTTCATGTCGTGGCAAGCGCCAGGACTTCATTTCTCTTTATGGCTGAGTAATATTCCATTGTATGTATATACCACACTTGGTTTAACCATTCATCTGTTGATGGACATTAAGGCTGTTTCCACCTTCTGTAAAGCCTCTGTTTTAACTGTATTAAGACAGAGGGAGTCGACAGGGAAGGGCTAGTGGCCTGAATGGCTCTGGTGGCTCTAGAGGGTAAGCGGGTGGTGGGGGCATGCAGAAAATGCATTTGTGCTTCGAGGGCTGGCTCGCTTCTGATTTTCTCCTCTTGTCCTCTGTCTCTCTGTCTCTCATACACACACACACACACACACACACACAGAGAGAGAAATAGGTCCACAGGGATGAGTGGAAAGCTGTGACAACCCCACAGAGACAAAGAGATATTTATCCCCAGGGTACCTACTTGAAGGCATCAATGTCAACACCCAGGATGGAACACATACGGTGGGATTCCTTCAGGAGCCGACCCAACTACACACACATACAGACACACACACATTCAGAAATGCAGACACAGGCACACTCACAGAGCAAAGACATGTGCTGATGTAACCCCAGAGCGATTTAGCTCTGCCTTCTGATGTATTTATCGGCATCTTTATATGCGGCATAAGGCACACACACTTATACACACTCATCCTGCCAAGGGGCTCCTATATAGAGAAGCAACCAGATACATTCAGATTCAGATTCAGGCTTGCCACGGAAGTGCCCAGACTTGCAGGATGCTCATCATGGTTCCAGGCCTGGTGGCTGCTCCTCAGTCACAGCTGCAGTGGATTACAAACAAGCAGGAGCAGTGGCCCCAGCCCCCTCCCAACCCAGCTCCCTGAGTTGTCACCAGGCTGCTCCAGCAATGATGTGAACCAGGAGAAGGGTGTGCCCCAAGTGAGTGACGCAGGTGGAGGGGTTGAGGCACTCTCAACAGGGGACCTCCTCTGGAACAGACCCAGGGTCCTTGACTTCCATTGTTGCCCTCTCTCTTCACCCTCCCGCCAACCACGGTATAGTCCACGCCCTGCACAAAATGGACATAGATGCTGACTAGCTCCGAAGTTTAGAGAGCGTGCCTGGGAGCCCCGGGCCTTTGCCTTCCCACGCCCCACCTCAGCTCGAGGACCACCTTATCCAGCCTCTCCAGGGCAGAATCTCTTAGCCTCTCCTGGCACTCCTGTCCCCACCGCCACCCCAAGGCCACCCTGCACCATTCCCTGTGGATAACGCTCAGTGACTGCGATCTTACGCCGCCTGCCCCAAATCTATG